ACACACACACACACACACACACCCACACACACACACACACACACACACACACAGAGTTCAACAGAAGGCGCATTATAGTAAACACAATGAGTCCGTATACACACAATCGCTGCATCTGTGCAGGAGAGTCCCGGGTCTGGACTGATTCCGACACACGCTGCAAAATGCAGCCTAAGGAGAAAGGGGTTGTTGGCCATAAATGCTGCTCATTCCAAACGCCTACCTAAAAACGGTCCGTTTTACATCTGCTTGTTTTATGGCGTGTTGCACATTCGTCTCTGAACCAAAACTAAACGTTAAAGCWTTTGTTACATCCCTCTCTTTAATTCGGCTTGAATTCGTTTACACGTAAACGCAAGTGGACTGCGAAGTCGTCTTTTTGTACATTATAAATCAATTACTACGTAAATTAAACGAGTCTAGGGGGTCACCTGTAAACCGAATCGGACTAAGCATCTCGAAGAACCCTTGTGAGTCTTAAWTTAGATCATGAGAGGTGAAAACCTATGTGGGGATGTTAGGAAATGTAAAATAACAGTTTTTTAAAAGGAAGTTCGGCGACCCGATTTGAAGACGCGCGAACCGAACGGGGCTTGTGTTTCCGGATGTGTCCTTCCCTCTTGACATTTTCCTGTTGGCGTTTTGCTAAACTGTGCTCCAGTATTAGGACTATCTGCTCTGTCAGAATGCCTTTGGTTGAACAAGGTGTCACCGGCCGGTTCGTGCGGCAGAGGAGGCAGACGGTGGCAGGCCCCGCTGGGTGTCTGCTGCCGCCCCCGGCGGCTCCCGCTTCGCGCTCCCGTCCTCCTGCAGCCTTCCTTCCGCCTAACACCAGGTCTGAACCCCGGTAAAAACACCCGTCTGCGAACGTCCCCGGTCATACCTTGTATTCCAGTTTGTCGGATCAGCCCGGAGCCCGTTAGGATCCCAGATAAAGACAGCCCATTGTCCTGCCGCTGTCGCTGATTCCTCCTGTGAGTGCCTGCCTCCTCTCTGCTCCTCCTCCTCCTCCTTTCGCTCATCATCTGTTTACCTCCGTCCTTTCTCTCCTCGGCTTTCCCTCCCTTGTCTTAATTCCTCTTTCTGTGATTCAGCATGACCTTTTTCTGTTTGTTTGTTTGTTTGTTTGTTTGTTTATCCTCCGCTCTCTCTGCCCATCCCTGCTCATCAGCTCTCTATAAAACAAGCATTTCAATAAACATCCTCATTTGTTATTTGTTAACGTCAAAAACTGATGTCGTGACTTAATTTGGGCTTCGTTGTGTGGTGAGGTTGTCAAGTTTACAGCGGTTCTGGTGACTTCCTGGCCTTYATTATTTGGCTATTTTGATGAGCGATGACAGTGCAGCGCAGCGAGCACCGCTGTGTTTTGGCGACACCTGCTGGTCGAACCGTAAAACGACAGGAACAGCAGACCTACAACGTAGAGAACWTCTCGACAGGCCAACTTCTGCCCAGTCTGTGCCAACAAGACAAACATCTGTGACACCATTTTGAAAGGAGCTACACGTAGGAAAGTGGACACTACTGTCAGAATGGCAGCAGAASATGAATATCAAAGTAAAAAAATAAAATAAAATCAGTGAAGAAGTTCAGTGTTTAATAATTGTTACAATTATTGTTCCTCCTGAATCGGTGGTTCTTCAATAGTGGATTGTTCTCTCTGGGGTTTAAGAACATGAGATCAACAGCACTGTTGTATAAAGTACCTCAAAGTGATACTTGAGTAAAAGTACAAGTATCTTATCATAAAAATACTTTGGTAAAAGTTAAAGTCTTCTCTAAAAATATTGCTTGAGTAAAAGTCTTAAAGTGTCTGATATTTTTTGTACTTAAGTATTAAAAGTAAAAGTAC